TCCTTGTTACTAGACTTGCTGTTAATCTATAAACTTCCTCCTTTTGCTTGTGTCAGAAAAAAGGGTTCTAACTAATTCATGGAAGGTGATTAGTATAGTGCATATGGTCGAGGGGGAGCTCAAGAATACCAGCAACTATCTGTCATAATTGTCTAGCTTGAAGGCCATACAGTCAGACCAAGATGAGACCTGTTGTCCTCCAGGGATGTGAGCAGAGTCCCAGACAGGGAACCATTGGCATGTATGGGAATCACACAAAGTTAAATATATACAGACAGAATTTATTGAAAACATACTGTATTTCAGACATTTTTCTAAATGTTTTTCATTTCTTAAATTATTATACATAGAAATATCATATTAATATTCAACATAATAACACAATAATACAATGGACAGTCATTACCTGGGGGAAGGCGGAAGCAAAATGCTTTCTACCAGTAATAATAACCACAAAAAAAGAACTTAAATTTAAAATCATTTTATTATACCTAAAACCCCATTCTACTAATTTTAAATACTAGTTCTTAAATTTTAGATAATCTGGCAATTCTGTTTAACTTCTGTAGTTATTTTCTACCCTTCTTTGCTCTGCTCTGTTACTGCAGAAAGATAATTTATATTGGCTTCTTCAGTAGGCTCCCCTGTCCTCTGGTTTTTTAGTCAAGGTGAACATCAGCAAGAAACTAGAGGATGGAAAGACTGATGTCACTGTGTATCGCCCCTAAGTCACAGGGTGGCAGTGGCTGCATGCCTCCACTGAAGGTCTTTTATCTCTTTTATCTCTCTCATTCCAATGACCACTCAGTCCCCTTCCCTACTCAGGGCTATTCATGGTTTCCTATTATTAGCCTAAGATTTCCTATTATTCCGCCCTTCTCTGATGGTTTCCCTAGTGCCTGACCATTCTCTTGGGAACATGTCTTTTCATTGATTCGCAAATTTTTCCCACTTGAGTGTCTCAGGACTTTACTGTCAGGCTACTGACTAATAAGAATCATTGGTAGCAGGAATAGCCCAAGGCTCCAGGAAGTTCACATGGAAGGAGATCAGGATAGCCTCCTTATTAGGTAGTCAAGGAAACTCAGAAGCCTTGACAAGTGCTGGCAAGATAAATGATTACTCAAATTGTCACTGCTGGTGTATGGGATGAAGTGTGAAACAGGTAAGGTTTGGGAAGGTGTGGCATTTACATATAATATAGCAACAGTAGTATGTAGAGGGAGGCTGGTAAAGTGACAAGGCTAACTCTATTGGCAATAATGGACATGCAAATGTGAAAGAACCCCTTGAATGCTTAAGTCAAAACAGATGAAACATCAAGAAGTTTCTCTGTCAGCTTTAAAGATCCTTTATTGACCTAAGTTTCAGAATAAATGAAGCTGAAAACCAACTCTTTTCAAATCTGATTTGAAATGTTATGGAATTGCACTGCTGAATAAAATGGGCAATATCAAAACTACTATTTCTTGGCCATGGGACAATGACAAAGAAGAAATAATGCATCTCTGGGTGAATTACAGATGTTAGTGAAACCATCAGAAAACTGAAAGATGTGGGGACGATAACTTACATTATATACTCATTTAAACTGTTCAGCTAATGCACTAGCTAGATGGATCTGTGGATGAATGCAGACTTAATCACATCTTAATGCCAACTGCAAATGCACTTCTAACTAGAGAATCTTTACTGAAGCATATTTTAAGATCATCCCTAATCTCAGGTATGAAACAACTAACTTGATTTCTTTTTTTTTTCTTTTTTTTTTTTTGTAGACAGCATACCTTTATTTTTATTTGTTTATTTTTATGCGGTGCTGAGGATCAAATGCAGAGCCTTACATATGCTAGGCAAGCACTCTGCCACAGAGCTACAGTCCCAGCCCCAAACCTGATTTCTTCTTAAAACAATTCCTATCAACAAAGATAATCAGAAGCAGTTTACCTTCACAATGCAGGGACAACATGCTTTTATTATCTTATCTTAAGGCTAGACCAGCTCTCCTCTCCTTGTTATAATATAGTCTGGAGAAATCTTGTTCATCTTAACATACCAGGAAACATCAAGCTGGACTATTACATTCATAACATTACACAGATTGGACTTGATGAGCAGGAAATAGTAAACACTCAAGATCTTCCAGAAGATAACTAATAGAGGACAGGGGATAAACTCAATGAAAGTTCAGGGACTTTGCACATTAATGACATGTTGTGGATCCGGTGGTCCGGGAGTGTTGAAATAGATCTTCAATAGAAAGAGATAAATCGCTTTATCTTGAATCTTCAATTATGAAGATCAAGGAACAAAACATCATGGCCTCTTTGGGTTGTGGAAGAAGCAGACAGCACTTGCTGGTATGCTGTTCTAATGCTGGTACTAAGTAATCCCCAAGGCTGTCAGGTTTGTGAGAAGTCTGGGCAAGGAAAGGACCTGAAGCATACCTGGCCAGGAGGAAATCTACCTTATACCCTTGGTTATAGGCCTAGCAGATGTAGTGATTTTTGGAAATGTCAGTGGCAAGCAGAGATGCTGTATGACATCTCTGTCAATGGAAGCCTCAGAGTGCAGATCCCTAATAGTTTTGTATTAAAGAAATACGATCTTCTACCAATAACCATCCTTCACTTGAAAAGCAGCTCTGAACTTGTTACTGGATTCCAGTTAACACACAGAAATAGCATACAGAACTCCAAATAACTGGGTGGCCCAAACTACACATCATGAACTAGGTGTTATCTGATTGAACATATCATAAAATAAGAGTTATATAACATTGTTAAAAGAAGCTGGAACCAAGCAGGTTTGGGAAGTCCAAGCATTCTGCTTGAGCAAGTTTCTCAATTATCTATGATAACTGCTACTTCTACTACTTAATATGTCCACTTCAGACCATATTTATCAACTTACAAGGTGTTCTCCATGACCAGTGAATGGAGAATGAAACAGTGGGAATCTGGTTTGGAAATTAATTGCATGGTATTTGGTACCACGGATGATACTCTATTTTCAGGTCCATTTTAGAGGCTAGCCCTAAAATACAGTGATGAAAGCATATCCCCCAGCTGTGAGAATTTCTACAAGTACATCTGACTGTACACTGGGTGGAAGAAGAGAGGGCTGAAGCAATGATATATGCTATGAAAATATGTCTAAAGACTTCAAGGAACAAAAATGGAAAATTGATGATAGACATTCTAGGGGAGAGTTATGTGGATATATCTTTCAGTATTGGTATAAAATGTGATAACATGGTGTTGTGGTTTGAATCTGGGATGTTCTCCAAAATGCTCATGCATTGAAAGCATGGTTCACAGATGGGGATTTTAGGCAATGATTGTATCATTAAGACTCTGACCTCATCAGTGGTAAATCCACTTGATGAATTAATGTATTGTTAGAAGAATGGACTACTGGGTGGTAACTGTAGGAAGACAGGGCATGGCTAGAGAAAGTAGGTTACTAGGGGTGTGGCCTAGGGACTATGTCTCTTCCCCGCCTCTCTCTCTGCTTCCTGTCTATCATGAACTGAATAGCATTCCTCTGGTATATCTTTCTGCTATGATGTTCTATCTCACCTTGGCCCTGAGCAGTGGAGTCAGCCAACTATGGCCTGAGACCTCTGTAACTGTGAGCCAAAATAAACTTTTCCTCCTCTAATGTGGTCTTCTTTTGTATTGTGGTCGTAGCAAAGAAAAGCTGACTAACATATATGATGTTCTATATTAACTCCTTCTTGAGGGCATTCACTGAAAAGGGCTTTAGTAATCAGGACCAAGTAACTTATATGGATGTCAGTCCAACTGTTTATCTTACCACCCTAGTCCTTGCTTAATGGGCCCATGCACAAAGCGATAATGGGAGAAGGTATAGAAACTATGCATGGATTCATGTACACAGATTTTTCCCCTCTCAATAACTGATTAAACTAGTATCAATGCTGACCTCACAATTTTCAAATTTCTGGCTTGAGGGTATTATATATTAATTTTCCACCTCTAACTTCTTAGGGCAATTCATACTAAAAGTCAAATGAGATTCAGGGAATTTAGAATATAGCTGATAATTTACTAGATCTTTAATTATCTAGGACTACTCAGATATACTGGAAAATATAAAGAAAAATAATAAAAGCATTAACTTAAAATTCTCACAGTCTAATACAACCTGTCATTATAGATGAAAATATCATTTTTCTCATATACATAGTAAAATTAAAATTTAACATGTCATTATAGACAGAAGGAGCATATAAAACTGGCTTGAGAGTATTATATATTAATTTTCCACCTTTAACTTCTTATTTAGGGCAATTCATACTAAAAGTCAAATGAGATTCATTCAGATTTCCAATAATTCTTTCTCCTTTATGTACTTACATTCGGGCATTTTTAAAAACAATCAAACATTCTAGATTTTTAAATCATTTATAAAAAGAGATAAGTTTCAGAGTCCAATGACTATAGTTTGGAAGTTAAAGAAACAAGAAAATGAAATATTACTCTAACGGCCAATTTTCTAATGAGTATAATGTTTTCCAATTCAAAAATAACAATATGTGATTATTTTCTACAGAGGTCCCAGCCTAGCACTGTATCAGTCAAAAAATCCCACAGCTTTCACCTCCTGTACAGGAACTTCAGAATGTAGTTATTAATTTACTAGATCTTTAATTAGCTGGGACTACCCATAATTTCTGCATTAATAATTATAAAATTATAAATCAGAAAAATGTCAACTATTTATAATTGCAATATTCTGAAATTAAGAAACTCAGTTGATGGTACTCCTTTCTGCTAAGTCTGTAAGCCCAAAGAAGAAGGGCCATATATGCGTCCTGCAAGTTCTTAGTTATTTAATGTACACAAACAGATATACTGTTTGGATGGACTGTTCCTAGCTACACACCAAAAATGAACATTACTCAGGATTATTCTGTAATACACTCTTGAAATTTTGTATTTTAGCATTCTTCTCAAACACTTGGAGACACTTACCAGAGTGGGTCCTGAGGTGTCCTGTGAGGGCGTCCCTTCTTCTACAAGCGTAGCTACAGAAAGGACATTTGAACGGCTTCTCTCCAGAGTGTAACTTTATGTGTCTCAGAAGGTTGCCCTTCTGAGTAAAAGAAGCTCCACACTGGTTACAGTGGAAGGGACGTTCACCTGAAGAAAGAAGAAGTCAGAAAAATCAAGTAAGTAATGTGCAAGTAATAGCCAATTCTCTCTAATCATGATACTCTTAAGCCTTCTACATAAGTATTTTCTAGGATTTGCTTTGAACATAACAAAGCCTCAGGCTTTGGGTCAAGTGGTCATTTCCCCTCTTCATATAAATCTGACTAGATTCCTGTTATTGACTTCAAAAGAGTAACAATAACAGTATTTACCAACAGTTGAACAACTAGGTGCCATCACTTTACTGCCCTAGTGGTTGCTTTACATGTAGTATTTCAATCCTCACAATGACATTTATAATTAGGTATTATTAATTTCAGTTCATAAATGAAGAAATTGAAATGCATGAATCAAAGTATATGATTATAGTTATAGAGCTCATAAGAATACATGCTGAGAACCAAACCTGGTCAGTTTGGATACAAAACCTAATTCTCTTTATTTTACCATGCTCTCTTTAAAATTCACAGAAATTATGGGTTGGAAAATACTGTGAGTCTCACACCCTCTTTCAGCTAATAAGGAGATGGAGGCCATAATGAATGAACCAAATTACAAAGTTCATTACCACAGAATCAAGTCTCTTGATTCTGCTGGTCAGTAACAGTAAAACCATTCAATTTCCTGGCATCTCAGGGAAAATCCAAAAATATGAAAATTATTCATCCAGACCTTTCTTGTGTATTCTCTTTATTTTATGAAAATCCTATGTTTGACAGGTATCTTCTTTCACTTTTTCTGTCATTGATATTGCTATAAAATTGTTTAAACCTGAATTATTAGTTTACTCTCTTGCCACCAAATAGTTGTCACCAGTGTCATCAAATATAAAAACATTAAGGTAATGGAGCAGTGAAATTGGCAAGTAGGATCAAACTAACACTATAAAATTCAAAGAAAATACTATAATTTTAAGATTGCCTATCTCTAAAGATAGATAAGAAATAAATTATAAATTAATACCTAAGTAAATAAGTAAAAAGTAAAAAGGGATCATTCTAAAGCTCAAAGCTTTGAAAAAAAATTAAAAACAATTCCTTTTGGTTGAAATGAACCATTTCTGTACTTGAGATTAGATGATTATAATTTCAGCATTTAAAAAATCCATTTAATGGTGTGTTTCATATATCTTTAGCTGAAATATCTGTAATAATAGTGGTGTCAGGTGGCTAACACCTGTAATACCAGCTACTCCAGAGTCTGAGGCAGGAGGATCACACATTCAAGGACAACCTGGGCAACTGTATCAAGATTTTAAAAAATGGACTAGGAATATAACTCAGTGGTAGAGTACCTTGCCTAGCATACACAAGCCCTGGGTTTAATTCCTAGTACAGTGCAAATACACACAAAAAAGCAAAAATAATAGTGAGTCATAAAACCTCAATATATATTTTTGGTCCTTGGGCATATATGGGTAAATTCAGGGATTTTTTTAATTAAAGAAAACTAGGACACATGAAGAAGATTTGGCAGCAGCCACTGCAAATTCTATCACTGAGTTTTGTTAAAAAGAATAAATAAATTTTTAAGGCATATCTTATAATCTATTGTACTTATAATAGAAAATAATGAGGTATGTGTGTGGTGGGGATTAAAGTTTTCTCTTTAAAAATTAGGAGCCCTTAGAGCTAAGTTTCAAAAATTTCATGTTAAAATTATCCTAAATTTTATATTATTTAACTAGCTTGATTTAGTTGGTAAAATCTAAAACCTCTCATATGGAGTCTTATGAAATATTCAAAGTTTTAAAATTTCATTCTTTTGCAGATTTTTTATTTATATACACATAATACAACTTAACTTGATTCTTTTATTATTTTTCCTCCAATGAAATAATGGATCACACCCTTTAAAAACCATAATTATCTACTCCCCACTTCTGCCACAGAATTCATAAAAAAGGACAGACTGAGGTACTGCTCTCACAAATTAACTTTTTGAAAAAAGAAGAAAAATTATACTTTTCACTTCAAATGTTTGATGTTACTTTTGGAATCTATCTACATAAGATTTCCTAAGCAAGTAGCAAATTAGTATGCAATAACTTTGAAAATTAATTAAATTAGTAGAAAAAAATTGAAATCATGTTTGCCTTTGGAAAATACTTCATCAGTAACATGTTGAATTAGATTTTCCCTAAACCACCTATATTCTTTGAATTAAAATATTTAAAAGTCCTTAATTTAGTTAATTCACTATTCAAAGTAATGCTACTCTAAAAAAAAGAAACAACAGTTTAACAACAGGATTTCCCATTTTAAAAGAATTTTTAAATTCACCTAATTTTTATGAGACAAACAACAGGGTAATTTAGTTTTTACATTTACAAATACTCCAGATGTCTTTGAAATTTTTAAAACTACAAAATTACTACTTCTGAATTCATATTATCACTCTCAAAGAGGGTAGGAGAAACGTAAGCAGGTCTGGATACTTCTTAGAATACTGCCATGTCGTTAAGCTGTGGAGGCCTCTGGTAAGTTCCATGCTCGGAAGATATAAAGAAAAAAGCTCCACGAAAATAACCAGTCAGGCTCTTTTTTTTTTTTTTTTTTTTTTAACAGAAGACTGATAGTAATGTACCAAAGTTGTACACTGTTTGAATCTACCAAAGTTGTAATGTGTCAACCAGAAAAGGCTTTGAGAAAAAACTGATTTCAATTATGAATAAGTCTTGATTGAGCTTTTTACTTTTGGATATCAATCATAGGGCTTTTCTCATTTTAAGGTGAAATCTACTTAAAAACATTTAATGTCTTAATTATATGAAAAACACTAATTTACTTTCAATTTTCAGTTATTCACTGAAATATGTAAATACAAATAAAAGAATGAGTTTGTAATTTTATTATGGAATAAATTATATTTTAATAGTTTATATGCTTTCATAAATATATATTGTAAAATTATTGTTTATATGTTTAATCGAAATGCAAGTATAATACAAATACATCAATTTGCTTTGGCAAATCAAAGACATAGGATATTCTTGTGTTGGACAGAACCACCACTTACAAATATTTGCAATCCTAAGCACCTTTTGAGAAGGTTTTAGAGCAAGAAAATGGTTCCATGGTACTACAATGTATAAAATTGAGTGCTGAAAACTTAGTTACACTGATGGGAGTACACTATTCCAAAAGTGGAATCTTCTACATAATATTCTATAAAATATAGATTTTCTATATAATATTCTCACTAATTCACACTCATGGCAAGAACTGATTTACTACCACTACTTGTTTTCTTCTTTCTATACTCCCAGTGAAGAGTGCCTGGAGTATCCGATGACAATATTACCTGATTAGGTACTAAAGTAGCAATGCCAAAAAAATTAAACCAAGTCATTAATAAAACAATGGAATTGGCACTTTAGTAGAATATGAAAGAGAAAGAAGAAGAAGTGAAGTAGATCTGATACTCCATGTCACTGAAATAAATTGGAAATTTGGACACCTTCTTTCACTGCTGGTTTTATATTAGATATTCTATGACCTAAAAGACACTCAAAAATCTGTTTTCCAGCAGTTTTTTATAGGGGTTTAAGACAGTGCCTTTTACATTAATTACAAATAATTGTTAAGAGTGGGAAGTTCTAAAATTAAGACACTAGTTCAAAATATTACAGAGAAAACAAGGTTAATGACTAGATTCTCATTCGATCTTTCTTAATTTAGTTTAAATTAAAGAAACACAAATAGACCTTCTGTCTTTAAACAGTACTAAAATGGAACTAAAATGTCATGACCCACTCATAGAAGTAAACTGGGTCATTAGAAACATGTATTAAAAGAGCTAATTTAAGATATCACATCCAAAATTTCAAAGTCAACAAAGTATGGTAAGTATTCCAAACTCTTCCATGAATGGCTAACATTAACAATCTCCCAGCTCTGAAGAAAGAATAATAATTTGCACAATACTCCAACGTGCATTTATTAATAAAAATGTTCATAGTGTTGCAAGTGTACTTTGGTTTTGTAGTCCATTCTCCTTGCCTTTATCAGGTAAAGGAGTCTCATATTCCTAGAACCTGTGGAAATCTGAGTAACTATAAACATGTTTCATCCCAATTAGACCATTTCAGTGTTAAAATGATCTGACCTGACTTCACTACAGGAGTAAATAGCAAATGGATAGTAGAGTAGGTACGCAATGATTGCTATTTTAAAAACTCATGAATATCTCTATAAATACAGTGAAAAATGATATAAATTTTCAAGAAAGTGTATTGTGGTTCTTTGAATTTTCTTAATAAAGAACACACAGTGTTTATTAAAAATGTCACAAATATTATTTTTAGTATACACTTCAGCCTTAAAATTAATACTATATACAATTCAACTACAATGTCATTAGACTGATTTGTAGTTTGTATAATACTGGATAGGAGAAATTATACATTTGAATGAGTTGAGTGTTATCTTCTTCCATATACTCACTCTGATGCCATGAATATATTATAACTTTGTGGAATTCATTTTATGTGGCTACAGTCAGAATAACTATATGAGAACTGACAAAAATTAGGTTCATTATTTTATAATCTTTTCCATTTTTTTCTTATCAAATTGATACCAAGTTTGATCTCTTAACTTTTCCTAAGATACTTTACAGCATGTTGCTGTTTAAAAAGCAAATTGAAAACAAAGCAAAAATGTAACTGATTTTGATTATGATAATACTGGTTTTAATATATGATTTTTTCACTGTAATTAAAAAAATCTGCCTTAGTTTATAGTCACACTTCATTATCAATTATTGGTATATTAATATACCAAGTACACTGTACAAACAAAACTAGTCTGAGAATCTGGGAAACTTTGGTTCTAAGCTCAGCAATGCCCTTACCTACCTAAGGGATAATGAACAAATCATTTTACTGTTTCTTCATGTGTGAGATGAGAGGTTTATTAAAAACACTTGATGTAACTTACATATCTCATGATTTCAGAACCCAATTATAAAATTATTTAGAAGTAATGTTTTTAAATACATTATTGTGATTCATCATTGCCACCAAAGCTATCACATTTTATAACTGATAATAGTAGTTATTAGTATTCTATTGTAGAATACCAGTTTGCATTATAGTGAAAGTTATATTACCTTCAAACCAATTTTTCTATAAACTTGAAACTTCCTATTTACCCCAGTCTCATTCCTGTTTTTTGTGTGACTGTTCTAAATTTTGGCAAAGAATTTGAAGAGACTGAAATAAGGCCTTCTCATTTGGTTGGTTCACGAAGGATTTTACATCTTTAAAATGTATATTAAATTAATCTGAGAGCTTTTTCTTTTTAAACCAATTCCATGATTATACATTTCTACTCCATACTGCCACCCTTTGTCATATCTGAATCTACATATCTCCTTTAGGAGTTATAGCCAATATTCATAGGAAAATGGTAACATTCCTGAACTAGGGAAAGTAACTGCTTACTACAGAGACCTGTGGTAGGCAAAGACTCATGGAAAATCATATTTAAAGGAGTTAAGCAGATAAAGTGAAAACAATTCACCCCTTTATAAATGTATGAGTGCCACTTTGTAGTATAAACTTTTGGCTAGCAAACTATATTACCTGCCCATGGGTATGGTAAAATATGTATAGAAATACAAAAAGATTGAATTACACAATGAAATTCTCCTATACCTTTTGAACCCTTATCATATTATTGCTATATTAAGAACTGTGGAAACTGAATCCCAAACTTCTTTTCTGATATGCTATTCAGATTTGAAGGCTGGAAGTCAAGACCCAGGCTACTCTCTGCTTTTCAGCAATCCAATACTAGCAGAATTCTGAAAGGGTAGTTTCACCATTGCCACCCCTGAATAAAAAGGAAAGAGAATAGATGTCAGGTAATATCAACATCAGATGTCACAGGCAGTCATCAGGTTATTCTTTCAGCTGCTTACCAGTGTGACTCCTTTTATGTACCATAAGCACATTGGGCCCAATGCAAACCATGCCACAGACGTCACATTTCAGTTTACCATTCGGAAGCCGGATTCCTCCCTCGCCTTGAAGCTCCTGGACTTTCCTGTTGTCAGCCACCTCATTGCTCTCAATTAGGGGTTCTTCTAGGCTGCTACCCTCATCATGGCCCCTGATCTCATCTTCACGGCTCAGGGGTTTCCTGTCACATTCTTCATCACTCTGCATTTCTAGCTTTACTGAATTTGCTGCAAATTAAAAAGAAGAAATGTTAAATAATGCTATGTGCTTTCAGCAGTCTCCTTTCTACCCATTGTCATTCTATTAAGTGGATGCACATGATATATTAAACAGTATACTACCTATCAACAAAGACCATGTTGTTGCATATTATGCTCTATGGTATTTTAATGAAACTGTGTCATAAAAGCAAAGCTGGCTCAGCAAAGCTTTAGATAAAGAGACTGTCCTTTATTTTGCCCACATTCATTTAACCCAAATATTTACATATTAAGCAAGTTATTACATAATTCTAGCATTGGCTTTTGAGTTTGTCACTAAAGCTACTCAGAGTGAGATGTATGTATGGAAGACACAAGATTAAATATTGCCAAATTCACTGAGCCATGCCTCCTTTTAATTTAACAATCATCATATTCATATTTTCTACTTCACATCTGAAAACTTGTATAAACCCGCTTTTGAACAGGGCAAGAGAAACAACTCAAGATCTTAATCCAGCAAATGTCTTTCACATATGCAGGCAAATGTCCTAAAATCAAACTAAACACAAATATTCAGTTAAGAGCTGTGTAAATGCAGGTAAGGTTAAGTGCACAGACCTCATATGCTCTGAAATTACTTTGCCATTATTTCTTCTATGAAAAAAGTTCTCTATGGAACATACCAGTCTGGAAATAAGCTAATCTATCTTGAATGTATGCACACACACACACACAAAAAAAAAAAACAAGTGAGAGGAATGGCATAACACACATGTATACACACTGTTGAGAAATTCAATGCCCTCTGTTTGCTGTTTTTGGATCATCCCACAGAAAAGTTGGAATTCTATTGGCACAGCCCTCATTCTGGACTGCTGACAGAGTCTTTTCAAAAAGCAGAAGCAATTTATATTAGTTTATATTAAATTTATATTAGATTTTTTTAATCCAGTGATCTTGAAAATTTCTTAAGAAATCACATCAAAGTTACTAAATGAAACAACTTTTCTGGTACTACTTGAAGGGGAAATATTTTCATAAAAAGTAAGGAAGTTCTTTTTACTGCAGGTGTTTTCTTGGAGAACCCGCATTGTTTATTTATCATATTTGTCACTACTCATTGGGACAGGGAGTGTGATCAACAGGGCTCTTTCCCTGCTCTCTTTAGAGCACCCCTATTAACTAGTAGCATGGCACAAAGACACTAGCAGAATAATTTTGAATTAATTGATTTACTTAAAGTTAAGTTAATTACTTAACTTCTGAATCTTAGACTTTCATTTCAAAGAGAAAATGAATTCAGATTACTAAATAAAGTTTGAAATAGTTTATATAGTAAGAGTGATGGTGATCCTTAAATTCTTAAGGAACTCAAATTCTTTGTTCTCTATAAAATGGGAATAACAATGGTCTCACTTGCTATGGTTGATATGAGCGTTAAATGAGTAAATATACCAAACATGTATATCTATTATTTTTCTCTATACATAAAGAACTGTATTAATTGCATAAGATTTTTGCACAGATTAATTAACTTTGAATCTGTAGATTACAATCTCCAAAGGGATATGCATCCTTGCTGGACTCATCTTTTTTGGGGGTCGGGGTGGGGGACATACTGGGGATTGAACCCAGGAGTGCTTAACCACTGGGCCACATCTCTAGCCCCTTTAATATTTTATTTTGAGACAGGGTCTTGCTATATTGCTTAGTGCCTCACTAAGTTGCTGAGGCTGGCTTTGAACTTGTGACCCTCCTGCTTCAGCTTCCCAAACTGATAGGATTATAAGTGTGTATCGCCACACCTGGCCCTTGGCTGGGCACATCTCTAATTTAGTCAACTATGTTGAGTTTTACTTTATTTAGAAATCAATATGACATTACTGTTTTTCTAGAGTTAGTAGTGACAATATTTCATCTAATTTTATATTTTCACCATGCTTAAAAACTTTGTACTAAACAGGAGATAGTCAAGCAGAATTCACTGATTTATTTTACTAAACTGATTGTGAGTTTTACTGCCTTAAACTTACTTGTTTTATATGTTTAAGGAATCCATGACATAATAAAAAAGTGAAATAATATATAGAATTAAAAATGAAAATTAAGTACTTTACTACACAAGGATAACAATTCCTCAATTCCTGTTTCAAAAAGCAGCTATGATCATAATTGTCATACTCAGAAGACTGAATTCATTTCTAAAAAATATTTTTTTAGTTGTAGATGGACACAATATATCTATTTATCTTTTTATGTGGTGCTGAGGATCCAACCCAGTGCCTCACACATGTGAGGCAAGCACTCTACCACTGAGCTACAGCCCCAGGCCTAAATCCATTTTTAGATGTAATAGAATTCATTCATCTAAACTATCATTAGAAATTTAAGATTATTTGTCTTCATTACTGACATTCTTATACCTCAATTAACTATCAATGTGAAACTAGTATTTCACTAGTCTATATATTTTTATTAAGTTGAGTAAAGTTGATCTTCTTTGTACAATTTAGTTGTTCTTTATTTTTCCCGAAAATTTTTATCGAACATTTTGGCCATTTTTCTAGGAGGTTATCAGTCTTTACTCACTGAATTTAAACATTCTTTATATACAAGATTAGCATCTCTTAACATGAAAATCCCAAATCCAAAATACTCCAAAATCCAAAACTTTTTGAGCACTAGCATAATGCTACAAGTAGAAAATTCCACAACTGACCTCACGTGATAGGTCATTGTCAAAACCAGGCACACTAAAAATAAGTGGATAAAATTACTTTCAGGCTATGTGTAAAGTTATGTGTGAAACATAAATAAATTTCACGTTTAGACTTGAGATTCATTCCCCAAATAACTCATTATACATGCAGAAGTATTCGAAAATCCAGAAGATTAATATCAGGAATATTTCTGGTCTTAAACATTTTGGATAGGGATTATTGAATCTGTAGTAAGGATTTTATTCTTGTGTTTATGATATATTTTGCAAATATTTTATCTTTTTACTCATTATTCATGGGTATTTTATGGCATATAAGCTAATTTCACATGTTGAATTTTTAAAGTTTTCAATTCTGTCATTTGGGTTCCATATCTTGCTACAAGTAGGCTTTTCTACAAAAAAAAAAAAAAAAAAAAAAACAAGTATTGTTTTTCTGATAAGGAAGACTTTTCTAAACAATGAAAAATGCTATTGATTATACTATGTAGTGATGTACTTTATTTATAATTGTCATTTAAAAAACAAATTGAGAATAAATAAAAACATGACTTTATTCAGCATGACTTAATACAAACCTGTGAGCAAACTATCCTACACATTGATTTCAGGTGATGTACTGAAATGTAGAAGCTTCACAGCAATGCCATTAGTTTTGTTTCTGAACTAGTCAGAGTTTGATAAGCTACAATTAATGAGCATAAAATTTACTTGGGTTACATTTCAGAACTGAAGAAATAAATACATAAAAGCTTTTAAGTTTAAAACTACAGGCCTCTCAAATTTCAAAACAGCACAAAATTATGAGACTGTGACTTGACCTTATAAACATTCTCTCTTTCCCTACTGAGAATATTATAAGAATAGGAAACAGACATGTATTAAAATGTCATTTTAAAAATTAACACATATAAAAATACAGTTAGAATCTGCTATTCCTAGAGGAATATAATGGATGGAACTACTGTATTTAAAATAAATGTTTTGGGGGTTTTTTTGCTGGAACTTTTTTTCTGTACTTTAGGAATTATATATTTATCTAATTTATTATATGTTTTACTTTCTATTATTAAATATTATCTTCTATGAATATATTTCCTGTCCCAATACAGTAAATCAATAAAGTACCACACATTGCAATATACATATCATAGAATATATTTTTCAAAAACTGGCAGTCGATATATAAACAAAAATCTCACAATAATTAATTTCCTTAAATATTTTTTTTTAGTTGCAGCTGGACACAGTACCTTTATTTTATTTATTTTTATGTGGTGCTGAGGATCGAACCCAGAGCCTCCCATGTGCTAGAAGAGCACTCTACCGTGGAGCCACAACCACAACCCACATGGTAATTAATTTTTAACCCAGCTCTCTGAAATTAGGTTGAAATTCCTAGATAAAAAGCAACTAATTAAATAAATTAGTCTTTGAATCTTAACTCTCCCATGGTTTACTTTTACTATTGAAGAGAACCTAATTTAAATCATTAATGTTTAAATTCAAGTGTGTAGCATATTAAGCAAACCTTAAATTATAATTTATATATTAATAAAAGAGTTGTATTGTGACTATTTTTAGCTATAATACGTGAAGCTATTACAGCTCTTAATCATCACACAATAATATTCACAGTATTCTAGTTTTCAAGTCTTTGAAATTAAATTTTTAATCTTCATTATATGGAATTTTGTTTACAATTTGGTAATAGGAAAATATTCTCATAAATGAGTGATTTAATTCTCTTATTTATGTGGGAGAATGTATGAGCGAAATGAAATCTTGACATTAGAAATCTCAAAACAAAGAACAATTTTACAAGCTGTTCCTCTAATCTGAAATGAAGGACATAAAACTCAAGCATATCTGTGGGGATTTATACACATTAATATACACTGACAAGCAATGATGCCTTGACAAAAATAGCATTTTGTCAGAACAAATTATTAGCAATATTCAAGTTTATATATAAGAAGCTTTGAGTGTATTTCATGATAAGAAGTTCCTCATATATTGGGGGGTGGGGAAGCACCATAATGTAAAGATTTTAGTTAACTGATCAATTTGCTCTGTTATTCAACACTGTAGTCACCAAAAAGTAAACTTTGAAGATATCTGAATATTTTCAATGAAGAAAAGAAAGAATTTGTGTTTTCTTAAAAAGAAGATGATATTGTCTACATTTAAAAACAAAAGTCCAATTTTAAGTTGTTACTGATTAAGAAAAAGTTACTTTGTACACGGGCAATCAGTCATTGATGATAATGATGTTTCTTATACTTTCATTGTAAAAGCCCTTCTG